AAAAAAAAAAAAAAAGAAACAATTCAAAGAACACATTAAGAAACAAATCATACTCTAAGAATGAAATGTGACAAAAACAAAAGATAGATTAAATAACCAAATGTGAGAAAAACAAAAAATAAAAAGAAAAAGATTTTAAAACAAACAAAGAAAGAAGTCAAAGAATTGTAACATATTAATGAACTTCAACAAACTATGGTTAAAAACAACAGTATAGGTGACTCAAAACATTAAACAAAAAAAGACCAGGAACAAAAGAACATATATACATATATGGGTCCATATATAAAGTTCAGAAGCAATAGAAATTAAACTAGTGCATAGAGATGCATAATTAGGTGATACAACTATAAGGAAGAGCAAAGTCATTACCAAAAAGTTAGGATACTGGCTCGGCTCCTGTAGATCAGCAGCTAAAGTGCCAGCCATATACGCTGGAGCTAATGGGTTTGAACCCAGCCCAAGCCTACCAAACAACAAGGACAACTACAACCAAAAAAATAGCCGGGGTTTGTGGCAGGCACCTGTAATCCCAACTACTTGGAAGGCTGAGGCAAGAGAATCACTTGAGCCCAAGAGTTTGAGTTTGTTGTGAACTCTGACGCCATAGCACTCTAATGAGGGTGACATAGTGAGATGCCGTTCCCAAAAAAAAAAAAGAAAAAAAGAAAAAGAAATAATACTGATTATTTTTAGAGGAGAGAGGTGATTGGGATTGGAAAGGGCATACAAGGGATATCCCAGCAATGTAGTGTTTCTTGACTTTGAAGTTTCATGATTTTTTAAAATAGCTATAAACTATATGATTTATTTTTTAAATCTATATAATTATTGGGTGGCACCTATGGCTCAAAGGAGTAGGGTGCCAGCTCCATATACTGGAGCTGGTGGGTTCAAACCCAGCCCTGGCCAAAAACTGCAAAAAAAAAAAACTATATAATTATTTTGTAAATAATATAAATATAAAATTTTAACAATAAAGTACATAATTATTTAAGCTGTATATTTTTATTCTATGCACATTTGTTTTCTTTTCTTTTTTCTTCTTTGAGACAGAGTGCCAATCTGTTACCCAGGTTTGAGTTTCATGATATCAGCCTAGCTCACAGCAACCTCAAACTCCTAGGCTCAAGTGAACCTCCTACCTCCGCCTCCTGAGTAGCTTGGACTATAGGGACCTACCACAGTACCCCTGGATAAGATGAGTCTCGCTCTTGCACAAGGTAGTCTCAAACTCCTGAGCTCCAGGGATCCTCCTACCTTGCCCTCCCGGAGTGCTGGGATTACAGGAATAAGCCACCACATCCAGCTCTTCTACATCCATTTCCATGTTACATGACACACTTCATAAGTAAAAAAATTAAAGGAGTATAAAGAGAAGAAAAACACCTCAAAGCAAAGAAATGAATTGAAAAAGGAACCCTATTTCAATGCTCTCTATAAAACAGGTAACATTACTAAGGAAGCAAGATATACCTTTCCTTACTAAGCCAAATATTACCAACTAGCACTCACTGACCTCTTCAGCAGTCTCATCTTCTTCCTCATCATCTGGTTGATACTCTTCATCTGAGGAATCATCTTCTTCAAGATGGATATCCACAAACTGAGGGGGCTACATTAATACAATTAGAAAAAAGTGAAGTGATGGGAAACATAGATCAGATATATCTGGGAAAAAGTGAAAGAAGGGCAGGAAAAAAATCCTAAGAACTACAACTACAGCAAGTACAAGAGGCAGGGGTTAAAGTGATTCCATGAGATGCAACCTAAGAGTAATGAAATAGAAAAAAAATAAAGCTGGAATTAAATGAAAAGGTAGGTCAAAAAAAGTTAACAAATAGGAAGTACTTAAGTTTCAAAATTGATGAAGTATCTTTCTGGAAAAAAAAAATTGTAACTCTTCCAAGTTTACCTTAATTTCACTGGCCTTTTTGATTGGTGAAATATTCCATGTTGGAATTACCTACCAAGTAAGAATATAAATAATTAAATAATATTAACTAAAACAAACTGTTTTTCGTATTTAATTCATCTTTTTTTTTTTTTTTTTTGAGACAGAGTCGCCCTGGATAAAGTGCATGGCATTGTAGCCCAGCTATTTTTAGAAACAGGATCTTGCTCTGGCTCAGGCTGGTCTCCAACTCCTGAGCTGCCCACCTGCCTTGGCCTCCCAGAGTGCTAGGATTATAGGCTTGAACCACTGAACCAGCCTTTTACTTCATCTTCAGCATCACGAAGAGCTATACACCTAACAAGTAGCTGCAGTGATCTGGAGGTGTTTATTATCCCTGGTTATTTTCAAAAATTTGTCAGAACTGGATAGAAAAAAAAGAGGAGGCCAGCTTGGTGGCTCTTGCCTAAATATCCCAGCAGTCTAGGAGGCAGGAGGATTGCTTCAGGTCTGCCCCCCTCCCAAAAAGAAAGAAAGAAAGAAAGAAACTACAACAGGCTCAGCGCTTGTAGCACAGTAGTTACTTACACTGAAGCTGGCAAGTTCGAACCTGGCCCAGGCTAGCTAACCAACATTGTCAACTGCAACAAAAAAATAGCTGGGCATTGTAGCAGGCACCTGTAGGCCTAGCTACTTGGGAAGCTGAGGCAAGAGAATTGTTTGAGTCCAAGAGTTTGTTTGCTGTGAGCTGTGACACCACTGCACTCTACCAAGGGCAACATAGTGAGATTCTGTCTCAAAAAAAAAAAAAAACTACAACATGTATTTTGGGTTCATAAGGCAATCTTCCTTACTACAAGAGACAGAATGTGCTCCCTTAGGACTGTCACCTGCCTTGTCACAGAAGGTAAACACAAATTGGACAAGTGCTTGTTAAGGATACAGCACAGTCAAGTGGTTTTCATAGTTCTATATGTAAAACAATGAACTGTTGTGTTTCCAACAATACATATTCTCAGACTCCACCCGGGGTCCTGACTCCTAGGTCTAGGTGGGCCCCAAATTGCGCATTTTTAATAAGCACTCCTGAGGGACCTCACACCAACATGATTTTGATGTAAGCAGTTCCTAGAACTCATTTTAAGAAATACTATTCTAAACACTTTGCCATACATGTTACAATATGAATAGAGAAACCCACCCACTCCTTGTTTCAACTATTCCAAATGGTTATCTATCTAGCACTTCCAAAAAGCAACACTTCGTAGAAACTACAATAAAAATAAACCATGATAGCAATTTCAATATCATATCTCTACTCCTCTGGTACAATATTTCTTTGAAGAGCCAAACCCAGACCATGATCTTTCCTATATTTTTTTCCCCTACAGGTGACCTAAAATTAATAATATTTACCAAGCTAAATAAAGAACAAAAATGAACACTTACCACTCCCTTCTCCACTACTTCCTTCAGTTTAGAACGTGTCATTTTAGGTTCCTAAGCAGAGGAAAATGCAAAGAAAACAGTTAATAAAAATCTCCATGTGATTCCTTCACTCCCAGGTGTCAAACTATTCACAATCTCCCAAGTAACCTCTACAGATAACACAGTTCCATGACATTGAAAGGATAACAATCAACTACTCACAAACATTGGCATGTCTTCTGTCTCGCTGATGGCTGCTTTCATCATAGCTACCACGTGTTCATTTGTGATCACTTCCTGAAGAAAGATGAAATTTCACTTTATGGAATGAGAGTTTGTCACCTAGACAATACTTATCTCTGTGAAATCCTGCTAGACCTATGTAAAAGATAAATGAGAACTGTACAAGCAACCAGCTTCACATTAGTGCAAAGAAGGAAGCTGAAAGCAAAGAAGGCTACAGCAAGTTTGGGGACAGAACACACAGTTGCAAACAACACAGCAGTAAGTGGACCAGCCTCATCAGCTGCTATAGGGACAAGATGGCTCATATAAAAAGAGGTCCTGAGGTAACTATGTGCTTAAGAAAAAAGTAACAATAGCAAAGGCTCTGTGAATAGCTAGCTGTGTAGCTACACACCAAGAATAATATTTAGGCTCAGTGGTTAGGGCACCAGCCACATACACTAGGGCTGGTAGGTTCAAACCCAACCAGGGCCTGCTAAACAACAATGACAACAGTGACAAAAAAAACAGCCAGGAATTGTTGCAGACCTTGTAGTCCCAGTTATTGGGAGGCTGAGGCAAGAGAATCGCTTAAGCCCAAGGAAGTGGCTATGAGCTGTGACATCACAACACTCTACCAAGAGCAACGTAAATGCGACTCTATCTCAAAAAAAAAAAAAAAAGAAGAAGAAGAAAAATATTTAAATATGTGAAAGAATCATAAACTGTTAACTGGTATCTTCTCAAACACACTTACCCACAAGAGAGTAAAGTACTGTGAGCAGTGTCACCTTTGAGTCTGCTAACCAGTAAGTGAACAATCAGACACTTACAGGAAGAAGCAGAGAAACAGCTTACCTTCCCGTGTCCACATTTACCTTAAATACACAAAAATGCACATATCTGAATGGGCAATTCACCTACCTAACCTACCAAGAGCCAAGAACTGCTGAGTATCTTTATCCACTTTCCATGGAAACTTCCCTCCGAGTGTGCAGCGGCCCACCCTACTCACATGCAGGATATTGCGCACGTTCACTGCTGTGAGGCTGTGCTGCCTGGCCCCGTCCTCTAACGTGCGGTCAAGCATGTCATCTAGCTTCAGATCATAGCCCAAGGTCCTTTCCTGACCCCTTCCATCTCGTTTCCTCTTGGTACCCTTTTTCTTTCTTCTCCTTTTCTCTCTTTCTTCATTGTCTTGCTCTTCTGCAAATAAACCAAGAGAATCACCAGAATCTCCAAAACAGTTGACCAAAAGCCAAGAGTAAAAGAAAGTCCAGCTGCCAGCAGTCTGGACCTGGAAATCAAAGACTATGACCTGGCAGCAGTAGTGACAATGGAGTTGGTAATGGTACTGGAGTACTAACAAAAGCCAGCATCACTGAATATTTATTTTATTTCAGGCACTCTCCTACACACTTTTTACATATAATTTACTTACTTTGGCAAGTAACAACTCAATGAGGTGGAGACTATTATTTCTCCCACTATACAAATAAGGAAACTGAGACAGGGAGGTTAAGAAACTTTCCCAAGAGCCAATAAGCAACAGTCATGCCAAACACCCAGCATAGCCAAGAGTGAGACCCAACTCTACTAAAAATAGAAAAAACTATCTGGGTGTCATGGTGGGTGCCTATAATCCCAGCAATTCAGGAGGCTGAGTAAGGAGCATTGCTTGAGCTGAGGAGTTTGAGCTTGCTGTGAATTAGGGTGACACCACAGCACTCTTGCCTGAGCAACAGAGTGAGATTCTGACTCAATTAAAAAGAAATAAAGGAGGAATAAATTCTGGTGCCTTACTTTGCAATAAGATGATGGTGGTTAACTACAAGGTATTGTATATGACAAAATAGCTAGATGATGATGGGTGTGTGGCTAATACCTGTAATCACAACACTTTGGGAGGTCAGGGCGAAGGATTGCTTTAGCCCAGGAGTTTGAGACCAGCATAAGCAAAAGTGAGACCTCATCTCTAAAAATAGCCAGGCGTGTGGCAGATGCCTATAGTCCCAGCTACTTGGGAGGCTGAGGCAAGAGGATTGCTTGAGCCTAAGAGTTTGAGGTTGCTGTGAGCTATAACGCCACAGCACTCAATCCAGGGTGACTGAGTGAGACTTCATCTCAAAAAAAGGGGGGGCGGCGCCTGAGGCTCAGTGGGTAGGGCACGGGCCCATATACCGAGGGTGGAGGGTTCAAGCCTGGCCTCAGCCAAACCGCAACAAAAAAATAGCCAGGCATTGTGGCGGGTGCCTGTAGTCCCAGCTACTCAAGAGGCTGAGGCAAGAGAATCACCTAAGCCCAGTAGTTGGAGGTTGCTGTGAGCTGTGTGATGCCATGGCACTCTACTGAGGGCGATAAAGTGAGACTCTGTCTCTACCAAAAAAAAAAAAAAAAAACTACAGTTCAATGGTGAAAGACTAAAAATGTTCCACCTAAGAGCAGAGAAAAAAATCCATTATACTGGAGGTTCCCTACCCAACACAGTAACAGAAAGGAGAGAGAAAGGGAGGAAGAAAGGGAAAAGAGGAAGGAAGAAAGGGAGAAAGGGAGGAAAAACATACATACAGATCAGAAAGAAGAAAACAGAATTTATTTGCAGATAACCTAGTTGACTACGTAGGAAATCCTCAAAGAATCTACAAGAGTCTATAGAGCTAATAAGTGAATTTAGCAAGCTCACAGTATACAAAGTCCATATACCAAAATCTACTATAGGCTTGGCACCTATAGCTCAAGAGGCTAAGGTGCCAGCCACGTACACCAGAGCTGGCGGGTTCAAATCCAGCCCAGGCCCACCAAACAACAACTACAACCAAAAAATAGTCGAGCAGCAGGCACCTATAATCCCAGCTACTTGGGAGGCTGAGCCAAGGGAACTGCTTAAGCCCAAGAGTTTGAGGTTGCTGTGAGCTGTGACACCACAGCACTCTACCCAGGGTTATAGCTTAAGAGTCTGCCTCAAAAAAAAAAAAAAAAAAAATCTACTATATTTATTTGTATTAGCAATGAACAATTAGAAATTGAAAAGACAATTAACAGGCTCAAGCTACTAAGGTGCCAGCCACATACACTTGAGCTGGATGGTTCAAATCCAGCCTAGGCCCGCCAAACAACGACAGCTGCAACCAAAAAATAGCCGGCGTTGTGGCAGGCGCCTGTAGTCCCAGCTACTTGGGAAGCAGACACAGGAGAATTGCTTGAGCCTAGGAGTTGGGAGGTTGCTGTGAACTGTGATGCCACAGCACTCTACCCAGAGAGACAGCTTGAGGCTCTGTCTCAAAAAAAAAAAAAAAAAAGAAAGAAAAGACAATTAACAGTAACATAGGCAAAAAGAGATGTCACCAGGTGCTGTGGCTCATGCTTGCCATCCAGCTACTTGGGATGCTGAGGTAGTAAGACTGCTTGAGACCAGGAGTCTGTGACCTATGAAATGAGATCTTGTCTCAAAAACAAAAGAAGAAGAAGAAGGAAAAAAGAAAGAAAGATAAGATCTAGGTGTACCATAAAGTTTTTTAGTTAAATCTAAAAGAATATCTAGGGGCGGCACCTCTGGTTCAAGGAGCCCCATATGCCGGAGGTGGCAGGTTCAAATCCAGCCCTGGCCAAAAACTGCAACAACAACAACAAAAATATCTAAGGCTGGAGCTGGGCATTGTGATAGGCACCTGTAGTCCCAGCTACTTGGGAGGCTGAGGCAAGAGAATCACCTAAGCCCAAGAGCTGGAGGTTGCTGTGAGCTGTGACACCACAGCACTCTACCAAGGGTGACAAAGTGAAACTCTGTCTCTAAATTTAAAAAAAAAAATCTAAGGCTAGGACCGGTGGCTCATGCCTATAATCCTAGCACTCTGGGAGGCTGAAGCAGGTGGATTGCTCGAGCTCAGTTCAAGACCAGCCTGAGCAAGAGCAAGAACCCCTATCTCTACTAAAAACAGAAAAATTAGGGCCTGGTACAATGGCATACCTTGTAATCCCAGCACTCTGAGGCTGAGGTAGGTTGACTGCCTGAGTTCACAAGTTTGAGACCAGCCAGAGCCAGAGCCAGACCTCATCTCTAAAAATAGTTGGGCACTGTGGCAGGCACCTATAGTCCCAGCTACTCAGGAGGCTAAGGCAAGAGAATCACTTGAGCCCAAGAATTTAAGTTTGCTGTGAGCTATGATGCCATGACATTCTACCAAGGGTAACAAAATGAAACTATCTCAAAAAAAAGAAAGAAAGAAAGAAAAAAGAAAAATTAACTGAGCATTATGGTGGGCACCTGTAGTCCTAGCTACTGTGGAGGCTGAGGCAAGAGGTTCACTTAAGCCCAGGAGTTTGAGCTTGCTATGAGCCAGGATGCCATAGTACTCCATCCTAGGCTGTAGAGGAAGACTTTGTCTGAAATAAATAGTGCAAAAAATGGGGTGGCGCTGGTGGCTCAGTGAGTAGGGCGCTGGCCCCATATACCAAGGGTGGCGGGTTCAAACCCAGCCCTGGCCAAACTGCAACAACAACAACAAAAATAACCGGGTGTTGTGGCGAGTGCCTGTAGTCCCAGCTACTTGAGAAGCTGAGGCAAGAGAATCACCTAAGCCCAAGAGCTGGAGGTTACTGTTAGTTACGATGCCATGGCATTCTACCAAGTATGACAACGATGTTAAAAACTACAAAATATTTCTGAGAGGCATTTTATGAGGCCAAAATAAATGGAGTGATATTTCTTATTCATGAGATTAGTAGACCCAACACTGTTAAAATGACAACTTTCCCATCTCAATCCATGGATTCATTACCAGTTAATATCCTAGCAGAGATCAGTATAGTGGCTCATGACTATAATCCCAGCACTTTGGGAGGCTGGGGCAGGAGGACAACTTGAGGTCAAGTGCTCAAGACCATTCTGAGAAACATAGCAAGACCCTATCTCTACGATTAAATTTAAAAATTAGCCAGGCATTGGCTTGGTGGTGCCTGTACTCAGTGGCTAGACTGCCAGCCACATATACCAGAGCTGGTGGGTTCCAACCCAGCCCAGGCCTGCCAAACAACGACAACTACAACAAAAAAATAGCAGAGCACTGTAGCAGGCACCTGTAGTACCACCTACTCAAGAGGCTGAGGCAAGAAAATCACTTAACCCCAAAGATTTGAGGTTGCTGTGAGCTATGACACCACAGCACTCTACCAAGGGCAACGAAAGTGAGACCCTGTCTAAAAAAAAATAATAATAATAAAATAATAAAAAAAGAAAAGGAACAAAGTTGGAAGACTCAGACTACCTGAACTTACTATAAAGATATGACAATAAAGACTGTAATATTGGTGAAAGGTTGGACATACATCAAGGAAGCAGAAGAGAGAGTCTAGAACAGTCTCCCCCACAATAGGCCCAAGTGATTATTTGACAAAGGTTCAAAGATAATTTAATGGGAATGAAATATTTTCACCAAATAGTGCTAAAACAACTGGATACGTGTATACAAAAAAAGAACCTCTTCAGATCTAGGCTTATTTGTCTTAAGAAATCTTTAAAATTGGCACAGCACCTATGGTTCAAGCAGCTAAGGCACCAGCCGTATACACCTGAGCTGGCAGGTTCGAATCCAGCCCAGGCCTGCCTAACAACGACGGATGCAAGCAAAAAATAGCCAGGC